CCGAGGTGGACGCTACGCAGCGTACGCGGGTTGACATGGTGGTCGCCGAAGCTGCCTCGCAGGCCGATGTAGTACTGCTTGTTTTTGATGTCGTCCTTGATGGTGTTGTGCGCCAGCTCCACCGAGACGTGCAGTGCGGCGTCGAAGGCCGGCAGGAACTCGTTGGGCTCGTTGAGCAGGCCTGTGGCAAACTCTCGGTTGTACGAGCGCAGGTCATCGATGTTGATGATGAGCCGGCGTGCATCCATCCTGAGCATGCGACGCACTGCATCCTGGTATTCGTCTTTGGAGAGAAACTCGGAGAAGACTCGCTGCCTGTCGCGGAGCAGATCATCTTGGAAGACGGGCAAGTCGAGGTTGCTGCCGTCGTTGAGTGCCTGACTCATTGCGGCGGCCTTATTATAGGGGGAGGGGTAGCGGCTCGGTCGGGGCAGTTGGCACTAGGCCCCGTGTATGTGTGTGGTTGAGGTGCCTTGGTATCGGTGCTGACGGACGAGGCTGATGCTCTACGGTGCTTCAGGGCTGAAGAAAGGAAGGAGGAGAAGCTCGAGAATGATGGGTGGTGGAAGCTCTCGATGAGAAAGAGAGAGGTGGTGAGTGGAGTGCAAGCAGCAAGGGAGGGCAGCTGGGATCTGCAAGCGCATCCGTCGACTCTGCTTCCCTCGCGCTCACTTCTCGATTTGGACCAGGCGGTCGGGCTCAGTCCATGCGCGGATCGCGAGCTCGAGCTCGGGCAGAAGAGCGAGAAAAACAACCTCTCATCCAACCAACACTGGCGCGCGTCTCTCTCGCTTGACTTCCGCACTGCGCCTCCTTCCGCAGAGCGCGAGGAGCAATTTACGCGAACGCGTCCGAGTCGCGTACAGACTCATTAACGCGTCGGACACCAATCCTGGCGCGTTACCGCCGCGTCCCACATCCGGCCGAAATTGCGAAACTCGGCCAACGCGAATTTCCTCGGCCTGTTAAGACCTGAGCTTCGGCCGTAGCTCTCCACAGCAGCTGTGATTGGATCGAGACAGGCTGAGCCACGAGCATGGACAGCAAGAACAGTCACAAGCGTCGAGGATACAATTTTGTACGTTGAAAGAGAGGATGATCACCACGAGCTCGGTCGCGAACGGCGCGTCGACGCATGCTAGCCGCCGCAGTTCGGAAGAGCGAGCCGGGTGACGTGCGATACTAGACGGCTTCGCGTCCCAGAGGCGAGCGGCACCTAGCTAGCTGCCGCCGTAAGCGAGACAATTTTGCAGCACCAGCAGGGTCCATCGACTGCCATCCTTGTGCGTTTGGTACTGCATCCGAGACGTCGCGGCAACTTTAAGGCCTTGGACTCACAAACAAGCACCGTCTTGCAAGTGAGACTGGCCTTGGATTAGCGCCACAGCGACAGGGTTGAGGGCACGACCTGCCCTTGCAAGCACGCGATAGTGTCGGCCTCATGTCTGCCTCGATCTTTCATGAATCGCCTGCGCTGATCGCATACAGTAGCATGAGGCTCTGCGTGCATCCCCTCGCAATGCGATGCGCGTTGCAGGCTGCATCTAGAGGACAGCGCGGCAAAGTTTGCATTCCACAAGACGGACGGGAAGACGCCTCGGAGAAAGGGGAGGAAGCGAACTCTTGGCTGAGTTGAACACACTGTGTGCAGCTGAACAATTCGCCGAGCTGCTGTCTCCCTTTGCCTTCCTCGCTGCAGTCTCGTCTGCAGAAAAGACGCAAGCGAGACGTGACGTTCCTGCGTGGCCTCCCGACAATGTCCAGGAGCTGGGACGTGCAACGCTTGGTTCGGTTAGCACTTTCGCTACCATGCGCTGGTCTTGGTGGCTGTCACACCAGCTTGCACTGTCGTGGCCTGACCATGCCACCCGAATCGATCTGTCTGGTCTAGTTCATGGAAAGCGCGCATTCAACAAAGCGCCGGGACCCCTTGTCGAAATGAAAGGGAAGTTTGCGGCGACTCAAAAGGGCAAACTGGCAGAGGGCTTGGAAACGTGCAGATCGCTCTTCTTGTCGGAGTCGCAAAATTCGCAGATTCGAAAAAGCAAGGTCCAACTCGCCGACGCGGATGGACGAAGCCTGTCAGCGTCAGCACGAGGACCGCACGGTAATTTGAATGCCGGCTCTCGCTGTTGCGTCTGAGGAGCCTCGTGGTCGAGCATGCATGCAGTCCTCCAGCCCTGCCCGGCGAAGCGGACGCAGCAATCTCGCACAGCCGCATCTTCGCCCACTTCTTGGACTTAGCCTATTTTGGTCCAGAGTGCAGATCGCGCGTCAAGCGCGTGATCCGAGTGGCAGGTTCCCAGGCATACGAAGCTAGCAGCTTAGCCTTTGTTGCTAGCAGACTTTGTGGCGATAGATCGTCAGGGCGTGAGTCAAGAATCCCGTCGGCAGCGTCGTGCGCGAAACAACGAAACAAAGGAGGGCTGCGAAGATGAGAGCGCCGTGATGGAGCGCCGACCTTGGGTGCACTGACCGATGCAGAAGGTCGGAGCTGCACGCGTGGTGGCTGTCGGGCGTCGGTCCTTGTGCGGCTGAACCCAAATCCCACCTCGTGCCTCACCACGGCGTAGCCAGCTGTAGCCGCCTGTCGAGGGCCCCTGGCGGACCAGGCCGGTGCTCAGCCTCGCTTGTACGCGTGTTGTTTGTGCTCGATGGCCTGCCCATAAGATGATGCGGTGATGGTGTTGACCGGCCTCCCTCGTCCCCCTCGTCATTCTCGTCATTCTCGTCATTCTCGTACTTCTCGCCGTTCTGCTCGATATCTCACTCTTTGCCCTTCGCCATCAGAATTCGCACTCACCAGAGTACTTCCGCCACCTATTGTTCGTTGCCTGCACTATCAGGCACGCCAAGCACTCTGCCACAACTTCATCTCGACGCTGCCCACTTCGCACCGGCCTCCCTCGCGCATCAGGCCCCACCATCCCCATCTGTCCGGTCCACTGGACGTGCTTTGCCGCTGGGGCGTGTGCCGCTATCGAGCCGGAGGAGCCCAAGGTACCGCACGGTGGATTCGTGCAACTCATTGCGGTGGGCTGTTGTGTTCTCCCACAATCATGCTGGAGCAACATTCGAGGCACGTCTTCGCGCTCTCCTCTTCGCCACACCGGCGGCACTCCCAGACGCCTGCGCAGGCGCCTCGAAGCATCCTTAAAAAGTCGTCTTCAGAACCTTCCTCGCCGAGCTCGTCATCACCTCCACTCAGCCCACGGCCAACCATGTCGTCCGTCAGCTATGCAGAATACCAGCCGCACCAGTGGTCCGTCGCTGGCATCACCCGGGCCCAGTCGAGTAACTCTTCGACCTCCTCGGCCTCTTCGTCGGCGCCGGGTAACAGGCTGACTGTCACCTTGCTGTACACGCCCACCGACACGCTCTTTGCGTGGCCGTTCAACATGTCTTCGCCAGGAGCGAGAGGGGTGTGCTACGAGACGCTGTACAGCGACAAGGAGACGGGCGCCGTTCGCAGACCGCCCGAGGGAGCCATGAGCACGAGCCTGCGCGTGCTGGCCGACGTGATCCGATGCTGGATCCGCATCCGACGCGATCGGTCCAGCGTCTCGCGCGCAGGAGGCGCCGATGCCGCCTATGCGAGCGCGTCCGCTTCGCCTACATCGTCGATCGATGCTCTAGTTGACAACGACGAGGTGGTGGATCAAATCATTGAAGACCTTGGCATGGCGCAACTCACCCCATTCGAACGCTCAATCCATCTGCTGCGCCAAGTTCTTCCGGACCAGCTTTCGGAAGAGCCGACGTCGCCAACCCGGGCACCGTCCGAGGCGGGCAGTTCGCAGGTATCGGACGACGACCGAGACTCGCGCCATCGCAGTGACTCTGCATCGAGCCGCGCCAGCACACTCGAGTCCACAGCTGACGAGGTGGCACCGGCCCAAAAGGCGTCGCCCAACTGTCCACCCAAGCTCACCATCGCCCTGCCAAAGTCACAGCAGGGTTCGCCCAAGGCAGAGGTGCCGCAGATCAAGCTCGTCGAGGCTACACCCCAGGAGGGCGAGTACGAGGAGCGAGACCGCGCGCTTGAGAGGGCTGCGTTGGCGAGGAGCCGCAAGAACAGTCCCGGTGGCATGCAAACGGTGCTCGAGGCCGAGGACGAGGACAAGGCCGCCACCGAGGTTGACGAAGAGGGAGCCGTCACCTACATTGAGGTCGTCCCTGTCGACCCGCCGTCACCGTCGATCAAGTCGCAACCAGCCTCACCAGGCAAGCCCAAAGTCACATTTCGAGACCCTTTCAAAAGCATCCAGCCCGGCCAGACCGAGCCGGCGGCGTTGCAGTCCGACGAGCCAGCATCCCCAAGCAAGAGCGCCGTGCGTTTTCCCAAGCGGTCATCGTTCGATAGCCTCCGTGCACGCTTCACGAGTCGTTCCAAGTCGCAGTAATACCATGCTGCATTCGCCAGAATCACTGCCTGTGCTGTCTCCTACCGCTGCAGGTGGTGCGGGAGGAAGAGACGAGGAGCGTGACTTATTTGGTGATTTTCGGTGTCGCTTTTTCCGATGGAGTGCTGCAGGGTGCTGCAGGTGTTGTGCATTGTGCAGTGAGCGGCTTTTTGAAGCTGAGTGAGCCTTCAGTGTGTTGAAGCCAGAGTGCGGCGCGGAGCATGACGTATTTTGCGTACGCACGGACTACCTCCTAGATTGATGTGGCGTCTTGCTCTGCACTTGCGGGTCGCTGAAGCTTTGAATCCTCACACCATCATTGCCAACGCCATGACCGACTTCGAAAAGACTAGCAGCAGCAGTGAGTTGTCCAGCCTGTTTCAATGCGAGCGAAGGAACCGTCTGCCGGACTGGACGCTGATATTTGGCGATCGCGTGTACAGACTCGACGGGCACCCAGCCTCTGTCGGTGGGAGATGATCGGCTGGCGTCCGACAGCAACTTTGCGAGCCGGCAGGTCGAGACGGGCGAGACGATCGACCAGGGCGGCTATGGGCTGTCGGCCTCCGGTGGGGACCAGTTTGCCAGAGAGAACCAGACCGGCCAAGGCTTCTCTTCGACGCAGCAGCAGCGAGACAGCAGCGGCGGCCAGTTTCAGCCAAGCGTCCAAGACTCGATCGGCAACACCGAGTATCGCGCCGATGCACCCACTGATCCCGACACAGTTCAGCACCGCGCCTCTGAGACGTAGCAATGAAGGTCCCACTCAAAATCGAACATCTTGACCCCTGTTGCAGGTGAAGAAAAACACAAAACGTTGTGAGGGGCTGCAGCTGCAAGGCACTGCCCACGCTCACTGATGAAGTGTGATGCTGAGTTTGAGAGTGGCAGTGAGTGCCAGTGTGGGGCTCAGTTGGGCCGCTGCCAAAGCGCGCTTACTCTCTCTCCCGGGCCGTTGCCGTGTTGAGCTTTCGACGCTACGACGGCGCTTATTTCTCCGAAATTTGGATGCGCGTGTGATGCCGTTGAGTGTCTGTGCGGAGGGCTTCTGCTGCTGAACAGCGCGAGGGGCCGCTGCACGACTACTCCACTTCGCTGGGCACAGCTCGGATGGCCAACGCCGGCCCGGAAGACGAGGCTCCTGCCTCCACAGCCACTCGTCTCGCCTCACCTGGCCTCGACTCGACGCTCGTACTCACCTTTGCCACGCACACCATCTCTGCTCGTCTCGCCTCATCCTAACACCTCCATCCACCCCGCAGCGCCAATCGCATCCTAGCTTCATCCTCATCTGCTCCTTGGCCGACTCCGAATCGCCACCTTCGCGAAAACAGATTCCCGGCGCTCCCAAACCTATCCCTCGAGGCGTCTGCTCGCCTGCTTGTTGCCACCATGGGCAATCCGATCCCCGTCCACCTCGAGCAGGAGTGTCGCAAGGCGACCAAGATTCTCAACGACTTTGTCGACCCTGTCAACGGCCTCGACAAGATCATCCCGCTCAGCGTGCTGCAGCGCGCCAAGGGATTCGCCATCTTTTCCGTCTTCCGCATCGGCTTCCTCCTCTCGGCGCGCGCAGGTTCCGGCGTCGTCATCGCTCGCACCGAAGATGGTTGCTGGTCCGCACCCGCTGCTATCGGCATCGGCGGCTTGGGAGGCGGCTTCAACGTCGGCGCTGAAGTCACCGACTTTCTCATCGTGCTCAACTCGCGCTCCGCCGTGCGCTCCTTCATGGCCACCGGCTCGCTGCAGCTCGGCGGAAACCTTTCCGTGGCAATCGGCCCGCTTGGAAGATCCGCTGAAGCGAGCGGTAGTGTAAACACCAAGGGCCGCGTCGCAGCCATGTTTTCCTACTCCAAGTCCAAGGGCTTCTACGGCGGCATCTCAGTCGAGGGCACTGTGCTCGTCGATCGTGAAGATGCCAACGCCAGGGCATACGGCAGCTACGGCAAGAATGCAAAGCAGATCCTGTCTGGCTCCGTAGAGCCACCGCGCTGGGCGACGGGACTGATCCAGACGATCGACCGGTTCACGCTCGCCAACACGCCGAGCAAGGACCTCGACGGCGAATACTTCAACTACGACGACACCAGCAGCTTTGACAACCGCGGCCTCGGACGCAGTGGAGGGCGCCGATCCAGCTTCGACTCGGTCGACAGCCGCGAGCTTGACGCCACCGTGCGCACCAAGTCGCCGCTGTCAAAGCGTGAGTCGGGGCTCGACGATCTCCCGGACCGATTCGACGGATTCGACCTGGGCGACCGTAAAGGCAACGGAGCCGATGCGGGGAGATCGTCATTCGAAGCGGCCGAGCGCGATAGGCGTGCTCGCGACGAGTACGATGCGCGCCCCTATGCGTTTGGGTCGCCGTCGTCATCGCTTAGCAATACGCCCGCGCGGGTAGGGTCGGCGGCATCGCAGAAGAAGCGTCCAGGCATCAGGCAGCGCTCCAGCAGCATCGCCAGCAATCTCAGCTTCTCCAGCCTCGGCGGCAAGAAGCGACTCGATCGCTCCGGGCCTACACCGCCGCCGGACTGGAACGATATTCCGGGCCACAGCAAGATCAGCGCTGCGTGGGGAAGGCGCGATCCGGACGGAATGGATGCACTCGACCGAGAGCTGCAGGGTGGCGGTGATACGGCAAGGCGCGGGTCGCCGTACAGTCCGTCGCATGCTAGGAGTTACAGCACGTCTGGGGTTTCCGAATCGGCTGGTTCCGACGCGCGTGCACGCAGTGGCAGTGTCGGGATCGGTGGACGTGGGAGCTTGAATACGCCGGTGGGCTGGAGTCAGTTCAGTACGGCCGATGATGCGGACGATTTGTTCGGAGACTCGCAGGCTCGCGATCCGTTTGACGATCTCGAGCCGCGCCACACAGGTACCAGCGCTGGCTCAGGCTACACAAATGGCAACGGCAACGGCAACGGCAACGGACGCACAAAATCACCCTGGGACGCTGCGGGTTCGAGCACAGCGCCACCTGCAGGCAAGACCGGATCAAGGTTCGGAAAGTTCCGCACTCCCAGTCCTGGAAGCAGTGCATTTGGCCGTAAAAAGACACCCACCATCGTCGAGGACGGCGGAGACGATCAGACCGCATCGCTCATCGATCCCGAACCGTATGCAGAGGTGCAGAGGCGCGAGTCGTTTTCGCTCGCAACGTCCAACGCAGGCGTACCGGTCATCGAGAGAGTCGTAGCCCTGTTCGACTTCGATGCCCAAGAGGAAGGCGATCTCGGCTTTAACAAGGGTCAAGTCATCGCAGTCACGAAAAAGACGGACAGCAGAGACGATTGGTGGCAGGGAAGAGTCGAAGCTGGTCTCTCCGCAAGCAGGATAGGCATCTTTCCCGCAAACTACACCCAGTCGCTCTAGGCATTTAATCAACATCTGTTTGCTCCAGCCTTCCATTCAGATTGCGACAACGTGGTCGTGTGATTGCGCAAGATCTGTTATGCTTGAAGACTGTTCAGCAGCCTCGGATCTGCGAGCTGATAGACATGCTGGCCCTCGACGCCATCACTCGTTCGCAGCATCTGCGACTCTCCTTGACCCCCGCAGCATGTTAATTCCATCGCCACGTCGATCAAAAAATTCAGCATGTCCGCCGATCTTTGTTCTCAGCCGCCGCAGCCTCATCCACGCGACCCGCTCCTTCCGGCGCGCTGAACGATCCCCTGTGTGTCACTCGACCGGCAGTGATCGGCGTGCGCGATGGAGGAAGGATAGTTGCAGATTCATGGAAAAAACATGCATTGAGAAAACGACTGCACCCAAGAAGGGCATCTAGGACGGAGAGAATGACGCTGCAGAGACGAGAGGACAGGCAACAGAGACCATGCAGAAGGGAGCGCAGCGACGATCAAAAATACTGCGCTGTAGTGAAATCTGCTCTAGTGAGCAATCGAGCCATCAGCATTGAAGTACTGGGGCACGTCCACAGCAAACGCGTCGCCTCCGCTAAATTGAACGGGTCCAGCATCCGGGCCAGACGGGAGATCAGCCCTCTTAGTCTTGGTCGACTTCTCCTTGCCATCGGGGTAGTGGTACTCGGGGACATCGTTGGCAAAGGCGTGGCCATGGTAGTACTGCACGGCTCCAGCATCGCGGCCAGACAGAATGTTAGCGTCCTGAGTCTTGGTAGCCTTGATGACCTTGTTCCAGTCGAGCTCCTTGCCGTCGACGCTGAAGATGACCTGGTTGTCGTCGGTGATGGTGAGATTGACGTTCACCTTGGTGTCCCCGAAGTGAACGCCAATGACGCTGCTCAGCGCGTTGGGAAGCCAGGTGAATCCACCGCCGACGCCGTTGCCGCCATCGCCAGCGTCGAAGCCGGCATGAAGCTGACCAAGGGACCAATCGAGACCACAGCCGACGCTGGTCTCGTTGGGGCTCATGGCTGGGAAGTGGCCTTTCACCGAGCCACCCAGCGCACCTTGCTGCTGGTTGGTGGTGGGCAGCTTGGTCTGCTTCCAGGTAACGCCATATGACTCAGAGGTCTCGATGATAATGGGCTGGACCTTGATACCTGTGGTGTAACCATCGTCGTTGCGGATGGCAGCAGAACTGACACCCGAGACAAGGGTAAGACCAGCAAGGGCAAACGAAAGGGAACCGGTGGTCATCATCTTGAGGCGCACGGAACTGATGGGGAGAAAGACAAAGGAGAGGGCGATGATGTATGAAAGATCTACAGCAAGCTGGTGCGACCTTTTATCTGTGAGCAGTGGCGACACTCGCTCAAACAGGGACATTGACACACGAGGCGGTGTGACACTCTCACGTGTGATCCCACCCTAGTGGCGCCATCGAGTGGGGCATCCAATCAGAGTCAGGGGCTGTGAGTGGGGCAACTCGTTTGCTCGCTCTTCTTATATGAAGGGTCGGGGTCGGAGCTTGAGTCTCGTATGGTCTTAACAAAGAGGCATGAATGCTGAGCGAGCTCCCGCCTGCAACATGAGCCAAGACTGGCGGAGAGTCTTGTCTTGTGAAGCGGGCCGATGCATCCCCCCACATCAGCCCACACTCCGGGTGCCGACCATCACTTGTCCTCACCATCCGCCGATCTCCCTCTCTCCTTCTCCTCCCCTCATCGTACGAGCTTGACGCTTCGTCGTCGCCCCTGCTCGAAGGCGCGCGACTTGCCCAAGGCTCCGCCTTCACGAAACACAGAATAACAAAATTCATAGCGCTCAAATGCTCTGTCTCGGCTCGTTTCTTGCCTCTCTTCGATGGGTCACCAAATCTAGATCTGTTCATGTATAGGCTCAGATACATTGTCTAGGCAGCTTATGCTCTCTTCCCCCCGATCTAGAGTCTGTGCAGGTTGACCAGGTATGCTATTGGGACTTTTGTGATCTTGCCGACGCGAACGCGATCTGCACCCAGGAATCCGAATCCCTCCCCGTTGGACCTGGCGCTGCCGCCGGTAGTACCGGTGGCCGGAAGTAAGGGAGGGCGGATCGATGACTACGCGCGTGCTCGCTGTTGGACTTGCTTCATCCCTGGCAGTTGATCGAACACCAGTAGGAGTTGAACTGGCACTTGTTGGTGTCCATGCTGTAGCCGAGGTTGTCTGATCCGCCATCGTCGTGACCATTGAAGATTGCGGGGCCGTCCATCCAAAAGCAATCGACGTCAACTCTTTCTTCGCCACACTTTACTTGGAAAAGGAGGCCGAAAGTGTTGCCATTCTTGTTGAAAATGTCATAGTCACCATGGTAGCAGACAACGGCATCGGCTTGCGAAGCTCGAGCCCGGGCCTGGTCCACACTCTGGCTAATGCACGCCGAGCGAGACACACCCGGATTGACGGAGCCACCAATCGCAGGAGTCGCGGCCATCAGGGCAAACACGGTAGCAAGCTTGAGCAAAAGCATGATTGGAGTCTTGGAAGGCGAGATGGAGAGTGTTGAAGGTGAGGCAGCTCGAACAAAGGCGGAAGGAGCGGATAGAGTATTTATAGGCAGTGCGACACGGTCCTCAGGTGTCGCCTTTCTCGCAATCTCATATCTTAGCGGTCCCAGCGCTCATGTAGCCGCGGTCCGAGAGGCAATGAGGTGGTACTTGCAGGCTAATTTCGCTTGGTGGGGCTGAAAGCCCACATGATGCCTGGTGAGACGAGATTCGGCCGCGCCACATTTGTGAAAAGTTCGTTCGCACCTCCCCTTGTATCATGCATTCTGGGATTGATTTCGATTGCCTACATATCGATACGGTACGTTATGCTGTACAGTGCAGTGCAGTAAAGTACTGTGCTGTATGTGGTCACGCCTTCGAGTCGCAATTGAATGGTAAAGTAAGGCGAGTCCACGCGTTTGCGAGGTAGAACGCCATAAAGCGCGTCAGAAGGAGCTGGATGGCGCGGATGAGGTTGCGGGGGGCTGGGAAGACAGATTGGTGGACATGCTGGATTTGATGATGTGGCGATGGACGATACAGGAAGTTCCCGCCTCCGGAACTCGTCATTCTGGTTATGGGCTCGAGCGCTCAAAGCGGGAGATTGGAAATGAGTGGTGTTGTCCAGCAACTCGCGCAGCCCACGTTGCATCGCTTGCCGTCGCATTCGTAGATCTGCACTCAGAGAGGCCGAATCTTGAAATCGAATCGTTCATAGAGTGCATAGCATACATGAAATAGTCGTCCAACTTGCGCTCGAGCGAAGAGGACGAGGACGAGGGCGAGGCAACGGCCAGGGCGGTCGAGCTGGAAGGTCCATCTTCGTTACGACCGCGGAAGAGAGGCTGACATTTTCCTCCGCAGCAAAGCGATCACCGTTCTCGAGTATCTCGAGGTAGGTGTCGCGTCGTTCGGGAACGTTGATGAGGGCCTCAGGGCCGTGCTGGTGCAGAGCCGTCAGATCGTGAAGCTCGAGC